GCAGGGGTGGCATTTTCTCGACACCAGAGAGGGTGCGCAGGGGGTGGTCCCTCACCGCGGCCGCTACGCGCGCCTCTCGTCCAGGCACAGCAGGCGTGGCATTTTCTCGACACCAGAGAGGGTGCGCAGGGGGTGGTTTTTCACCACGGCCGCTATGCGCGCCTCTCGTCCAAGGCACAGCAAGCGTGGCATTTTCTCGACACCAGAGGGGGTGCGCAGGGGGTGGTTTCTCACCGCGGCCGCTATGCGCGCCTCTCGTCCAGGCACAGCAGGCGTGGCATTTTCTCGACACCAGAGGGGGTTCGCAGGGGGTGGTCTCTCACCGCGGCCGCTACGCGCGCCTCTCGTCCAGGCACAGCAAGCGTGGCATTTTCTCGACACCAGAGGGGGTGCGCAGGGGGTGGTCCCTCACCGCGGCCGCTACGCGCGCCTCTCGTCCAGGCACAGCATGCGTGGCATTTTCTCGACACCAGAGGGGGTGCGCAGGGGGTGGTCTCTCAACCGCGGCCGCTATGCGCGCCTCTCGTCCAGGGCATAGCAGGCGTGGCACTCTCTCGACACCAGAGGGAGTGCGCACGGGGTGGGTTCTCTCAGAGTGTAAGGCCACAAGGGAGCACAAGCCTGGGGGGGCGCTATCATCATCATCATCATCATCATCATCATCATCATCGTCATCGTCAAGAGCTGTAGCCACCTTGGCTCATGCGGGTTCACGCAGCTCGATGCGTGGAAGCTGGCGACCGCCGTGATTCTCCGTCAAAGGTTTTGCAAGGGAAGAGGAGGAGGAATAAGAGAGGAGAAGAGATGGTGGCGGAAGGCAGAGCGAGAGAGGTCGTCGTCGTCGTCGCCGTCGCCGTCGTCGGTCTGCTGGAGCTCTAGCCGGCCATCCGGGCCTCCGCTCCCGCCCTCTGCCGCTCCCCATGTCTGACCATGTCTGGCGGCGACGACGACGACGACGACGGCGACGAACTTCGCGGTTCGAGGAGGTTTTTTCCCGCTTTCGGTGTTTGGAGGCCCGTTCTAAGCCCCGAGGCTCCAGGACCGCCAGGAATCGATCTGGAACGAAAAACTGAATCGGGGAGACCCCAGGAGGGGTCTGGGGATTGATTTTGAGCCGATTTCGGTCGAGACGACGACGACGACGACGACGACGACGACGACGACCACGAGGACGACGACAACGACGGCGACGACGACGGCAACGACCACGACGACCACGACGACGGCGACCACGACGACCACGACGACGACGACGACGACGACGACGACGACGACGACGACGACAACGAGTACGACGTTGTCTTGGTTGCTGGCTGGCTGGCTCGCGTGGCTCGTGGTGGTCGCGCTGGTAGTGCTAGCGTGTTGCACACATGACACAAAATAAAGTATGTGGGGTTCCTCGGTAGCGTAATTTGGTCGCGTCTGCCAGCGAGAGCGCGGGCAGAGTCAGAGATGGTCCGGGGCGCGGAAACGAGCCGAAGGATGTTCACGAATCTTCCGGAATTCTCGGGAAGCCCCCAGAACCATCCAGAATCCTCAGGACTGATCGGGGATCCTGGCTGCCCCAGCGGCTGCGCCCATTTCGGATCACCTCTCACGATAATCGCGTCCAATTTGAGAACTCCGCCGAAGGCCCCAGGAATCCATACGAATGCAGAGGAATCCCTAGGACTCCTCAGGGATCCATTGACTTCCTCAGGAATCCCTGAAAATCCTGAGGGATCCTGAAGAATCCTCAAGACTCTAAGAATCCCTGAGCATCCTGAGGAATCCCTGATGATCCGCAGGAATCCTTTGGAAACCGCAGGAATCCTTAGAAATTCCCAGGGAACCCTGGGAATACGCAGGAGTCACTAGGAATCCCTGCAAATCGTCGGGGGTCATCAGGAATCCATCGGAATCCATTGGAACACCTGGGAATCCATAGGGATCCTGCGGGATCCTCATGAATCATTAGGAATCCAAGACCCCCTGGGCATCCTCAGGAATCCATGGGAATCCACAGGAATCCATGGGAATATTTAGGAATCCCTCGGAATTCCGAGGAATCCTCAGCAATCCAAAAGAATCAGCAGGAGCCTCTGAGACTCCCTGGCATTGCTTGGGAATTCTCAAGAACCCATGAGACACGTCAACAATCCATGGGAATCCGCATGAATCCATATGAGGCCCTAGGAATCCGCAGGAATCCATCGCAACCCATGGGAAACCCTATTAACCCATCGGAACCTGCAAGAATCCTTAGGAACCTGTCGGAATCCTCAGGGATACATAGGAACACATGGGAATCTTCAGAAATCCTTAGATGTCCAAAGGAATCCACATGAATCCATACGAATCTCTAGGAATCCTTACGAATCCTTCAGGAATCCATGGGGCTCCTCGGGAATATCAAAGCATCCGTAGGAATTCTCTGGAACCTTTCAAAATCCTCAGGGATCCCTCTGAATCCCCAGATATCCTCCAGGAACCTATAAGGATGCAAGGAGAATCTGCCCAAAATCCACCACCACCCTTGTCCTTAAGATAATATCGTCCTGTCGTGCCCTCAGACGTGCCGGTGGCGCAGGCCAGGCGATTCGCCTGAGACTTCCTCACCACTTATGATTCTGAAACTTGAAATTCTGCAACAGTGTAAAAGACGGAGGGCAAATCCTGTTCGAACTGTGGCTCCCGCCCCAGCGCCGCGCACAGTCGTGTCAAAGACGGAGGGCGGGTGGTCTTCAAAAGTTGGCTCTCGCCGCAGCACCGCGCACATTCGCCTTACAAGTACGCAGCAGCTGCCAGGATAGAGGGCGGCCGCTCCTCAAAATGAGGCTCTCGCATCAATCGGTACTGCGCGCATTCGTTCTAAGTGGTTGCAACAGTTTCCAGGATTCGTAGGGTTGCAGTTCCAGGAATCACGTTCTGGCACGGTTTAAGGCTTTCAGAGCGCAACATTCATGTTGGTTTGCCGTGTTGAAGTCTTGGGAATGGTGTTCTCGCATGACTCAAGATTGACAGGGTGGAACAGTCACGTTGATTCGCGGCGTTGAAGCCCCGGGAATGGTGTTTCGAAACGATGGAGGAAATCTCAGACGGATGTCTTTCAATAGGGCGCGTCCTACCAGAATTGCTTTTTGTAGGGACCTGTGAAGACGGAACTCGGAGGAAGGGTGTATTGCACCATTGTTGATGCACCTTGGGTTTACCCTACTCCTCCCCGTGTTCCTACTCCTCCTCCTCCTCTTCTCCTCCTCCTATTCCTCCTCCTCCTCATCATCAGAAGCGCCCTCCTCCTCCTCCTTCTCATCATCATCATCATCATCATCATCATCATCATCATCATCATCATCATCATCAGCAGCAGCAGCAGCAGCAGCAGCAGCATCAGCATCAGCAGCAGCATCATCAGCATCAGCAGCAGCAGCAGCATCAAAATCCTCAGCAGCAGAATCGCCACCATCATCACAATCGCCATCACCATCACCACCACGACCATCATCATCAACATCGTCGACGTCGCCATCATCATGAACATCATCGTCAGCATCATCATCAGCATCATCATCAGCATATAGCATCATCATCAGCAGAAACATCATCAACAGCATCATCATCATCATCATTATCAGCATCAGCAGCATCATTACAATCACATCACAATCATCCTCATCATCATCGTCAACATTGTAAGTACAGTCATCATCATCATCATCATCATCATCATCATCATCATCATCATCATCATCATCATCATCATCATCATCATCATCATCATCATCATCACCATCACCCTCATCCCTCATCACCACCACCATCATGATAAGCATCACCATCACCATCACCATCACCACCAACATCGTCAGCAGCACCTTCATCAACGTCGTCGACGTCATCGTCGTCATCGTCATCATCATCCTGATCCGCATCCGCATCATCAGCATCAGCATCATCATCGTCATCATCACCTGCACCACCACCACCACCATCATCGTCATCATCATCACCATCACCATCCATCCCCTCTCCCTTCGCCCCCCTCATCAACCCTCCTCCACCTAGTCACTCTCGTCCTCGGCATCGTACTTCACTTCCACCTTCTCCTCGCCTCCCACACGCTTATCCACGTCGCCCTTCCCTCGACCAAGCCAGCGATGCCGAAGACGTCGCCGAGGTCAACAGCAAACGTCGACGACGAAGACGACGACGACGACTACGAGGGCGACGGCAACGGCGACGGCGGCAGCGGCAGAGGCGGCGGCAGCGGCAGCCGCGGCGGCGACAGTGGTGCGATAAAAGACCACGACGACGCCGACGACGACGACAATGGACGGCGACGGCGACGGCGACGGCTGACGACGACGACGACGACGACGACGGCGGCGGCGGCGACGTCGACGTCGACGTCGACGTCGACAGCAAACGACGAACGACGACGCCGACCCCGACGCCGACGTCGACGACAACGACGGACGACGACGGACGACGACGACGACGACGACGACGCCGACGACGCCGCCGCCGCCGACGACGACGACGACGACGACGACGACGACGACGACGACGACGACTACGTCAATAGTGGCGTCCAAGACATTGTCGACGCCAACGATCCCCGGCCATGCTGTCCACACGCCATAACTTCTCACCCCTCTTCGAGGCCTCCAACATCAGCGATGACATCCTCCCAGGAAGATCAGCGGGAGATCACGAGCAGGTAGACCCCAACCAGACTAGGGACTTGCCTCGAGGGGAAATCCTGAACCACACCTTCTTGGTCTGGTTGGTTATGGTGCCCTGGTCCAACCACTTCCCACATCTCTACGTTGGACAAACTAAAACTGAAATGCTGGAGCGCACCAGCTGTCCCAACCCTCCTCCTCCTCCTCCTCCTCCTCGTCCTCCTCATCTTCCTCCCCGCCCTTCCTCCCGCCCTTCCTCCCTCCCTCCCGCCCTTCCTCCCTTTCTGATCAGGCCTCCTTGACCCTTACGAGGAGGGGCGCCCGGGCGTGGCGATCCTCAGGCGCGAGCTGCACCCGCATCACCGGGACCTGCCCGAGGCCCCCTCTGCCAGACCGTCGCCGACCTCTTCGTCGTCCTAGTTGTCTTCGTCGGCCTCGTCGTCCTCGATCCTCGTGGTCGTCGTCGTCGTCTTCCTCCTACTCCTCCTCGTCCTCCTCCTCATCGTCGTCCTCCTCCTCCTACTTCTCCTCCCCCTCCTCCTCCTCCTC